ATGACAATTTAGCTATTTTGTTTCCTATCTTTATTCCTTTTATTTCTTTCTCTTATGGAATTGCTGTGCTTAATGTTTCCAAAACTGTATTGAACAGGAGTAGCGATAGTTGATGTCCTTGTCTTGTTCCTGATTTTAATGTGAAGGATTTCAGTTTTTGACCATTTAGTATGATATTGGCTGTAGGTTTTTCACAGATGGCTTTTATGAGGTTGAGATAGAGACCTTCTATTCCAATTTTCTGTAGGGTTTTTATCATGAATGGGTGTTGGATTTTGTCAAATGCTTTTTCTACATCTATTGAGATGATCATATGGTTTTTGTTCTTGGCTCTATTAATATATTGTATTATATTTATTGTTTTCTGTATGTTGAGCCATCCCTGCACCCCTGGGATGAATCTCACTTGATCAGGGTGTAAGATTTTCTTGATGATCTTCTGCATTCCATTTGCCAGTATCTTATTAAGGATGTTTGTATCTATGTTCATTAGTGAGTTTGGCCTATAATTCTCTTTTTGGGTTGGGTCATTCTCTGCTTCAGGGGTCATGGTGATGCTTGCTTCCACGAATGTATTCAGGAGCGTTACTTCCCTTTCAATTTCATTGAAGAGTTTAAACAGTAGTGGCAATAGTTCCTCTCTAAATGTCTTGTAGAATTCAGCAGTGAAGCCATCAGGGCCCATTTTTTCTTTGTTGGTAAGGTTTTAATTATGTTTTCAATTTCATTGATTGATATTGGCTTCTTTAGAAATTTTGATCTTCTTGGTTCAACTTTAGCAATTCATATGTGTCTAGAAATCTATCCATTTCTTCTGTTTTCCATCTTGCTAGCATATAGATTCTCAAAGTAGGTACTGAAGATTCTCTGGATTTCTACTGGGTCTGTTTATATTTCACCTCTTTTATTCCTAATTGCTTGGATTTGGGGGCATTTCCTTTCCATTGTTTTAAGTAAGGTTGGCTATGAGTTTGTCCAGTTTGTTTATTCTTTCAAAGAATCAACTCTTTGCTTCATTGATTTTTTGTAGTGTTTTGTAAATTGCATTGATTTCTGCTCTAATCTGTATAATTTCCTCCCTTGTATGAGCTTTGGGTTTGTCCTGCTCTTCTTTTTCCAGAAGCTTGAGTTTCAGCATTAGGTTCTTTATTTGAGTTTGCTCTGTTTTCATAATATGAGTATTCACTGCTATCAATTTCCCTCATAAGACTGCTTTCATTGTTTCCCATAGATTCTGATAAGTTGTATTAGTATTGTCATTTAATTGTACAAACTGTATGATTTCTTGTTTAATTTCCTCTGTGACCCATTGATTGTTCAGAAGTGTGGTGTTCAATTTCCAATTGTTTATGAAATTCCTGCAGTTTGTTTTGCTATTGATTTTCAATTTCATTGCAGTATAATTTGAAAATATATAGCAGATAACTTCATTTACTTTGTATTTACTTAAACATGTTCTATGAACAAGTATGTGGTCTGTTTTGGAGAACAACCCGTGTGCAGCCAAAAAGAATGTGTTTTCGGATTTTGTGGGGTGAGACACTCTGTAAACATCTGTTGATTTCATTTGTTCAAGAGTTTGATTGAGTTCTTGTATTTTGTTGCTTGTTTTTTATCTAGTTGATCTATTTGTGACAATGGGGTATTGAGGTCCCCCATTACTATTGTATTAGTGCTTATATAGTTTTTCATGTCCATTAGTATTTGTTTTATATAGTGGGGTACACTAGTGTTTGGTGCATAGATATTTATGATTGTCATCTCTTCCTCTTGTATTGTTCTCTTTACAAGGATATAGTGTCCTTCTTTGTCTCTCTTAATCTGTGTGGGTTTGAAATCCACTTGGTATCCAAATAGGATATCTGCTCCTGCTTTTTTTCAAGTTCCCATCGCATGAAGTATTGTTTTCCACCCTTTAGCTTTCAGTCTATGAGTTTC